CTACCTGGCTGCCTTGAAAACTCCCCGTTGGCTCCACACTTTCCACTGTTTCCTTCAAAAAACACTTCTTAAAGTAAGCCTTGGCAGCAGCGAGCATCGCAGCACGATGCTCGGGGAATGGACCAGTGTCTGCTCTGCTCCAGTTTCTGCTCCCCAGTGCCGCTGCACGCCAGCGGAGCGAATCAGGGTTAGCCGTTACAAGGAAAAAGAGGTGATTTAAGTGGGGCTCATGGAAGGAGAGTCTGTACCACCCAGGGCTTCTCCTGCAAGTTCTGCAAAAGTTGCTGCTCTAGGTGTTGGGAATGGTATAGTGATATCCATGCCTTGACAGTCACTCAGGTCTCCAAAGTGAATTCTAATACTGAGGAATTTGTCTGATGTTGAATATCTTTTGTGTTTAATAGAACCACATCCTTTTCAGTGCAGGTTAGTGTTTTGTGTCATTTACAGCAGGTGGGCCGAGTATTGTTTATGGTTAGAATGACTATTACCACTTTTTCCTTTACCCGTTCTTGGTTAATCTTTCAACTTTAGGTGTTGTTTGAGCTGAGAAAGTTGAATCTTGTATCAGTTAATGATAGCAATTTAATTTCTCAGCTTCTAGAAAACAAACACTGGAAGGTATTCTGCATCTAGCCTGCTTTGTCACTCTCTAATGGCTTTGTGTGTTATCAGCCGAAATGCTAAAATACTTTGGGATAGGTGAGATTAATCTTGATTTTAGACACTCAATACTTTGATGCTGAAGTCTGACCTACTCACCCCGGGCACCTTGTAAAGTCGATGGTGAAAATAGGTATCTCCAGAAGGTGATTCATGTCTCTGCTATCTGTCTTGAGGGTGAGCTGAGTTGCCCTCTAGAAGCGCCTTGGCTGCAAAGGGAGCCTAGAGCAATTGGCGCAGAATTAGACGCCTAAAAGTTAGACATCTAAGCCCAGGCAGCTGCATCCCCTGCCTGGTGTCTGCCTGGCACTCTTCCTCCATCATCGTTCAGCTGTTCTGAATTTCCCTCCCAAATGCATACTGTAAAAAGCTGATTCCCTGTGGGAATTCCCCAACACCTGTTAAAGATTGAAATCACTTCTAATTCCCTGTCCTTTCTGCACAGCCGAGACCAAACTGTGAGGTGAATTAAGCGTGTCGTAGGGTGGGAAGGAGAATAAAGTGAGCATTCTGGCTGCGGCCCTGTTTTTCTCATCAGGTGGGGAGCCATGCGCGGCTGTCACTACCCGTAGGTGACATCTGCATGTCACTGCATGTGTTTGCCTTGCTAAGATGAAGGTGTGCTGCAATCCATTATGGTGCTTTTATCCTCAAATGCTAGACTGGCTGGGTGGCTTTGAGTGGGAATCGTGTCGGTTCTGATAGAGCGTTTCTATTTGGTTTTCATGGTA